TGGCATGGTGGCGGTGCCTATTAGTCCCAGCTACTTGGGGAGCTTGACGTGGGCAGTTATCACTTGAAGCTCAGGCAGTCAAGGCTGCAGTGAGCCGTGATCATGCCAGTGTACTGCAGCCTGGATGACTGAGCATGACTCTTTTTTTTTTTTGGACAGATCTCTTATATTTGGGGGAGATTTTTGGCTTTGACACCAATCATGTAGTTTTTATTTATTTATTTATTTTTGAGACAGGGTCTCACTCCGTCACCCAGACTGGAGTGCCCAATGGTACAATCTCAGCTCACTGCACCTCTGCCTCCTGGGTTTAAGTTATTCTTCCCACCTCAGCCTCCCAAGTAGCCAGGACTGCAGGGCGTGCTACCACCACCTTGCTAATTTTTGTGTTTTTTTTTTTTTTTTTTTTTTTGAGACGGAGTCTGCTGTGCTCCCAGGCTGGAGTGCAGTGGCGTGATCTCGGCTCACTGCAAGCTCCGCCTCCCGGGTTCACGCCATTCTCCGCCTCAGCCTCCCAAAGTAGCTGAGACTACAGCGCCCGCCCCACCCACGCCCGGCTAGTTTTTTGTATTTTTAGGTAAGAGACGGGTTCACCATGTTAGCCAGGATTAAGTCCTCGGATCTCCTGGAGCCTCGTGATCCACCCGCCTCATGCTCGCATAAGTGCTGGGTTACAGGCTTGGAGCCACGCGCCCTGGCCTGTGGTTTTTTTTTGTTAGGGACGAGGTTTCACACGTTGGCGAGGCTGAACTTGAACTTCTGACCTCCAAGGATCCGCCTGCCTCGCCTTCCCAGAGTGTGGGGGATTACAGGCGTGAGATTGAGCCACTGCACCCAGCCCCATCATTCATGTAGATTTTTTTTTTTTTTTTTTTTTTGGAGACAAGAGTGCTTTGCTCTATCGGCCCCAGGCCTGGAGTGCAGTGGCACGAGTCTTGGGCTTCACGGCAATCTCTGCCTCCCAGGTTCAAGCGTTCTCCTCCCCCAGTCTCCCAAGGTAGGCTGGGATTACAGGCGCGGCACACCCACCATACCCAGGTCATACTCCCCATAGAATTTGGAGAAAAGGAAATAGTCATTGAATTTCTATAAATTAATCTCTATTTTAAGGAAGAAGGAGGAGGAGAAAAAACGAGAGGTATTAAATATAATCCATGAAAATGAAGAAAATCAAAGAATTGGTAAGTAGTGTATCAGATAAGCAGCAAGAGCATCTTTTAGCCATATAACGTGAGAACCTCTCTTCATTTACTCTCAACTTACGGAGGGAAAACAGATGGCTCTCTAAACTTTTGTCTTTTAGAGACCATCTCGTGGCTATTTTATGTAATTCTTTCTTTTTTTGAGATGGAGTTTCAATCTTGTTGCCCAAGGCTGGAGTGCAATGTACGCGGATCTCGGATCTCGGCTCACCGCAACCTCCACCTCCTGGGTTCAAGTGATTCTCCTGCCTCAGCCTCCCTAGTAGCTGGGATTACAGGCATGTGCCACCACGCCCGGCTTATTTTGTATTTTTAGTTGAGATGGGGTTTCTTCATATTGGTCAGGCTGGTTATTTTATGTAATCTTAATTTGGTAAGCTTAATTAAACTTGATCTTGGTTGAAAGTCTTTTGGGTGGGAGAATGCACCATGTGATGTCATTTTTCCAGAAAAAGAGTGTGGGCTAAGCGTGTGGAAAGCATTACCATTCAGTGTGTTCAGGAGGTCGGAGGATGCCCTCGGTCATGGTATAAAGCTTCTAGGGGCCAGGCGTGGGTGGATCACCCGAGGTCGGGAGTTCAAGACCAGCCTGACCAACATGGAGAAACCCAGTCTCTACTAAAAATACAAAATTAGCCGGGGTGGTGGCGCATGCCTGTAATCCCAGCTAAGGGGAGGCTAAGGCAGGAGAATCGCTTGAACCTAGGAGACGGAGGTTGCAGTGAGCCAAGATCGTGCCATTGCACTCAGGCCTGGGCAACAAGAGCGAAACTCTGTCTCAAAAAAAAAAAAAGGCTTCTAGGGCACACTTATTCACATGACATATTATGTAATTGTGTCTTGGATCAGTTGGTAAGGAAAATTAAAGCTTGACCTTGCAGTTCCTGACTGCTTTCAATGGAATGGGAATTCCTTTGACACAGAATGGAAACTCCTAGGCAGTGGTTTTGGTGACTGTTTAAAAACACAAATTCTTAGTCTCACCTACCAGATACCAGTTCAGTAGTTGGGGTTCTTAGTGCACAGCCTGGGTTAAGACCCTTCCCCTGGTGTGTTGACAGGGAACCCCCATAATGTCCTGGACTTCTGTAGACCCAGAGGCATGGAGTCAGGCAGTTTGTGCATGAGCCACACCCCTCAAAGGAGACTGACTGGGGTCTCAGTAATCTTTTTTTTTTTTTTTTTTTGGAGGTGGAGTCTCAGTCTGTTGCCCAGGCTGGAGTGCAGTGGTGTGATCTCAGCTGACTGCAAGCTCCGTCTCCTGGGTTCACGCCATTCTCCTGCCTCAGCCTCCCGAGCAGCTGGGACTACAGGCGCCTGCCACCTCATCTGGCTAGTTTTTTTTTTACTGTTGTTAGGCCAGGGATGTCTCGGATCTCCTGACCTCGTGATCTGCCCACCTCGGCCTCCCAAAGTGCTGGGATTACAGGTGTGAGCCACTGTGCCTGGGCTTTTGTTTTTTTTTTTTTCTTTTAATGAGATGGAGTCTCACTCTGTCGCCCAGGCTGCTGGAGTGCAGCAGTGCGATCTCGGCTCACTGCAACCTCTGCCTCCTGGGTTCAAGCGATTCTTCTGCCTCAGCTTCCCAAGTAGCTGGGACTACAAGCACACATCACCACACCCTGCTAATTTTTGTATTTTTAGTAGAGATAGGGTTTCACCATATTGGCCAGGCTGATCTTGAACTTCTGACCTTGTGATCCTCCCGCCTCAGCCTCCCAAAGTACTGGGATTACAGGAGTGAGCCACCATGCCCAGCCAGTAATCTTTTTTTTTTTTTTTTAAGACACAGTTTCACTCTGCGCCCAGGCTGGAGTGCAGTGGCACAATCTCGGCCCACTACAACCTCTGTCTCCCGGTTCAGGTGATTCTTGTACCTCAGCCTCCCAAGTAGCTGCCATTACAGGTGCCCATCACCACACCCAGCTAATTTTTGTATTTTTAGTAGAGACGGGATTTTGCCATGTTGGCAAGGCTGGTCTCTAACTCCGTATCTCAAGTGATGATCTGTTCGACTCGGCCTCCCAAAGTGCTGGAATTACAGGCACTGGCTGGTCTCAGTAATCTTGTGTGTTTGTGTTCTCGGCATTTTCCAGTTGCAAATGAGTCTGGAAAAAAAGGAGAAGAAGAAAAAGAAGGAGAAGAAAAAGAAGCACAAGAAACATAAGCACAGAAGCTCGAGTAGTGATCGTTCCAGCAGTGAGGATGAGCACAGTGCAGGGAGGTGAGCATGTGGCGACTGGCCTCCCTTCTCGTTGATTCACTTGCTCATTCACTCATTCATTCCACAGACATGAACACCTGCCCTGTGCTGGGAGCTGCCAGGTACTGGGCATTCAGTAATGAATACTTGAACATGGGCCCTGTGCCCACAGAGCTTGCCATTTAATGCTAGAGTTCCTTGGAGATGCTAAATGTGAGTGGGTATCTCGGCCATGCTGCTGGAGAGAGACCCTTAATGGAGCTGACTTTAGCCTAGTAGGTCTTAGGTAGGTCAGACATCCTGGGGGTGACTGTTTCATCTCAGCTTAGGATTCCTTCAAGACTGAAGTGGGCTTTATATATGCTTTTTTTAATGGACGGTGGCCCATGTTGTCCCATTCTGCGTGTCTTCCCGTGGGAGCAGTCAGCTCCGCCGCTGCTGAGTCACTATTCATCCCCGGAATAGCAGCATGAAGTGAGAGGAGAATGTGTTCAGGCGTTGGGGCTTAGAAGCGAGGCCCACAGTTTTTCACAGGAAAATTTGACTGTGCTGATGCATCTTTCGGCATAGACAGTTCAAATAGAGAAACGTACTGCCAGGTAACAGCTGGGAGGCGGAAAGGTCACATTGGAAGCAAGAAGCATGGTTCAGCATAAGATACTTAAATTGGACCTATATGTATTTTCTTTTTCAATGACTGTGTATTTTAATCTCTTAGATCTCAGAAGAGGATGGCAAATTCCTCCCCTGTTTTGTCCAAAGTCCCTGGATATGGCTTACAGGTAGGGATGTGGGCTCCTTGAAAGGAGTGACTATAGGACTGTGGGATATGCCACTTGGACAATGTGGATAGCAGGGAGGTGGGCAGTGAAGCCTGGGCTGCTGGGAAACAGGTCCCTTCTTATCCCTGAGCATCTTCTTGTGGCTGACGACCCTCTGAGCAGAGAGACTAAACCACCAATGGGGCATTGAGGCATTCTACCCATCCCTCTACAAATAATTTACATGAAATGCACATATTTTAAGTGTATAGGTGGTTTTTTTTTTTTTTTTTTTAGACAGAATCTCGCTTGTCACTCAGGCTGGAGTACAGTGGCGTGATCTCAGCTCACTGCAACCTCTGCCTCCTGGGTTCAAGCTATTCTCCTGCCTTAGCCTCCTAAGTAGCTGGGATTACAGACGCCCACCACCATGCCCAGCTAATTTTTGTATTTTTAGTAGAGTCAGGGTTTTGCCTGTTGGCCAGGATGGTCTTGAACTCCTGACCTCAGGTGATCCCCCCGCCTTGGTCTCCCAAAGTGCTGGGATTACAGGCGTGAGCCAGTGTGCCTCGCCTAAGTGTATAGGTTGATGATTTTTGACAAACATAAATCGGCTGTTTTTTTTTTTTTTTTGAGTAGCAGCGCATCATTATTTTGCCCAGGCTGGTCTCAAACTCCCGAGCTTAAGCAATCTTCTGAGTAGCTGGAAGGGCAAGCTCAAGGCACCTGGCTTGCCTTCTGTATTTCTGTATTTTTGTATTTTTGTGTTTTTTTTGAGATGGAGTTTCACTCTTCTTGCCCAGGCTAGAATGTGATGGCACGATCTCAGCTCACTGCCAACCTCGACCTCCTGGGTTCAAGCGATTTTCCTGCCTCAGCCTCCCGAGTCGCTGGGATTACAGGCATGCGCCACCACACCCAGCTGATTTTGTATTTTTAGTAGAGACGGGGTTTCTCCATGTCGCCCAGGCTGGAGTGCAGTGGCGCAATCTCAGCTCATTGCAACATCTGCCTCCCGGGTTCAAGCGATTGTCCTGAGTAGCTGGGATTACAGGTGGCCGCCACCATGCCTGGCTAATTTTTGTATTTTTAGTAGAGATGGGGTTTCTCCATGTTGGTCAGGCTGGTCTCGAACTCCTGGCTTCAAGCTATCTGCCCGCCTCAGCCTCCCAAAGTTCTGGGATCACAGGCGTGAGCCACTGTGCCCGGCCTCGTATTTCTGTATTTTTAACCTTAGGTCCTGTCCTCCATGCTTCTGCGTCTTGCTCTTCCTTAACCTATAGTGAAGACCCAAGCCAGGTATATTCTTTTCTTTTTTTTTTTGAGAGGGAGTCTCGCTCTGTCGCCCAGGCTGGACCTACCATACCCAACTAATTTTTAAATATTTTGTAGAGACAGGGTCTCACTAGTTGCTCTGAGTGGTGTCAAACTCTTGATCTCAGGCAGTCCTCCTGCCTCCATCTCCCAAAGTGTTAGGATTAAAGGTGTGAACGACTGCATCTGGCTGACTGAAGGAGATTCTTTTAGGGGATTCTGCAGATAACTAAGTTTATACAGTTCTCTGTGATAATTCTATGTGATGATATTGGTGTGCCCAATGAGCTCCTTATGTAACATCTCCTGTTTCACTGCCTTTTCTTTTTTTCTTTTGAGATGGAGTCTTGCTCTGTCGCCCAGGCTGGAGTGCAGTGGCGCGATCTTGACTCACTGCAACCTGTGCCTCCCGGGTTTAAGCAATTCTCTTGCCTCAGCCTCCCGAGTAGCTGGGATTACAGGTGCCCACAACCAGGCCTGGCTAATTTTTGTATTTTTAGTAGAGATGGGGTTTCATCATGTTGGCCAGGCTGGTCTCAAACTCCTGACCTCAGGTGATCCACCTGCCTAGGCCTCCCAAAGTGCTGGGATTACAGACGTGAGCCACCGTGCCCGGCTGCATTTTCTCCTGAATCGCTGGATTTTCCATGTGAATAATTTCTCTTTTCCTTAATGACGTAGGTCAGGAACTCTGACCGTAACCAGGGTCTTCAGGGTCCTCTGACAGCCGAGCAAAAGAGAAGGCATGGGATGAAGAACCATTCCAGATCCAGAAGCTCCTCCTACTCACCCCCCAGACATGCCAGCAAGAAGAGTACCAGGGAAGCAGGGTCCCGGGACAGGAGGTCTCGATCCCCGGGCAGAAGGTCATGGTCCCCAAGGCCCAGCAAACCGTGAGTGTGGGATTCACTGGGAAATAACCTGTGACTGTGGGGGCATGGTCCCTGCAGGCATTTGCTTTTGCTTTTGGAGATGTCCATCCATCGACTTTCCCAAATGTCTTGTCTTTGCTTTGGTATTTCCTTTATATCATTTTTTTTCCACCTCTATGTAAAGCTCAGGCATCCAAAGCTACATATCTGTAGGTGTATACTGTGCTTTGGGAGCTCTGGGGTGAGTCTGACATCAAACCCTATACCTTTATTTTTCTCATACTTGTGCCCTCTGCTTAGATTATACCTCTAAGACCATTAGCTCATCTTGCATTGTTTGAGAGATTCAGTGTAAGCCCCTGGATTAAAAAGGCTTTTTCCTCTCTGTGTCTGTTACAGGCACAACTCTAAGGTGAACAGGAGAGAGACAGGTCAAACTAGGAGCCCATCACCTAAAAAAGAGGTCTACCAACGGCGACATGCTCCCGGATATACCAGGTGAGTCAGGAGCCTAGTTGATTAACTTCACATTCTGCAGGCCTGAATCTAGAAGGGGCCCAAACCAGGGCAAATGGATAATCCATCATTACCTTTTCGACAAACCAACTTTTATTTATCTTGTCAGCCTGTAAGGGTCTGCGTCCCCTACCTCTAGCCATGTGAGGCACATTGAAAGGGCAAGGTAAGGCTGGGCGTGGTGGCTCATGCTTGTAATCCCAGCAGTTTGGGAGGCTGAGGTGGGTGGATCACCTGAGGTCAGGAGTTAGAGATCATCCTGACCAACATAGTGAAACCCCATCTCTACTAAAAATATAAAATTAGTTGGTCATGGTGGCGCATGCCTGTAATCCCAGCTATTTGGGAGGCTGAGACAGGAGAATTGCTTGAACCCAGGTATCGGAGGTTACAGCAAGTCGAGATCGCACCACTGCACACCAGCCCAGGCGACAGTGCGAGACTTCGTCTCCAAAAAAAAGAAAAAAAAAAAAAATCTCTTAACAAAAACCAAGCCAGACACAGTGGTCCATGCTTGTAATCCCAGCGCTTTGGGAGGCTAAGGCAAGGAGGATCATTTAAGGTCAAGGGATTAAGGTTGCAGTGAGCTATGATCAAGCCACTGCAGTTTTGCTTGGGTGACAAAGCAAGACCCTGTCTCTTAAATTACAAAAAAAAAAACCCTCAATTATTCTTGCTGGGTGTGGTGGCTCATACCTGTAATCCCAGCAGTTTGAGAGGCCAAGGCAGGAGGATCACTTGAGGCCAGGAGTTCCAGACCAGTCTGAGCACATAATAAGACGCTATCTCTACAAAAAATTATTTTAAAAACATTAAAAAAAACAAAAGCTAGTAGTTCTTTGCTCTGCCTGACCCCACTTTCAGTCATGCTACCCAAAGGCAACTACTTTCAGCTTTTTCAGTAGTTTCTTTTCATACTATGTATTCCTAAAAATACAAATATGTTGCTGCCTCTTCATCCATCAATTTTAGATACTAGATATTTTCTTTTTTCTTTCTTTCTTCTTTTTTTTTGAGACAGCATCTCGCTCTGTCTCTCAGGCTGGAGTGCAGTGCCACAATCTTGGCTTACTACAACTTCTGCCTCCTGGGTTCAAGTGATTCTTCTGTCCCAGCCTCCCTAGTAGCTGGGACTACAGGCACACGATGCCATGCCCAGCTAATTTTTTGGTTTTTTTTTTTGAGATGGAGTTTCACTCTTGTTGCTGAGGCTGGAGTGCAATGACCGAATCTTGGCTCACCACATCCTCTGCCTCCTGGGCCCAAGTGATTCTCCCGCCTCAGCCTCCCAAGTAGCTGGGATTACAGCATGTGCCACCACGCCCAGCTAAGTTTTGTATTTTTAGTAGAGACGGGCTTTCTCCATGTTGGTCAGGCTGATCTCGAACTTCCAACCTCAGGTGATCTGCCTGCCTTGGCCTCCCAGAGTGCCACCGCGCCCAGCCTTTTTTTTTGAGATGGAGTCTCGCTCTATTGCCCAGGCTGCTGTGCAGTGGCATGATCTTGGCTCACTGCAACCTCTGCCTCCTGGGTTCCAGCAATTCTCCTGTCTCAGCTTCTTGAGTAGCTGGGACTACAGGCACATGCCACCATGCCCAGCTAATTTTTGTATTTTTTAGTAGAGACGAGGTTTCACCATATTGGTCAGGCTGGTCTTGAACTCTTGACATCAGGTGATCTGCCTGCTGCGGCCTCCCGAAGTGTTGGGATTACAGGCATGAGCCACAGCACCTGACTCTAATTTTTGTATTTTTAGTTTTTATGGGGTTTCAATGTGTTGCTCAGGCTGGTCTCGAACTCCTGAGCTCAGGCAATCCACCTGCCTTGGCCTCCCAAAGTGTTAGGATTACAGGTGTGAGCCACCGCACCCGGCCAGATCTTAGATATATTCTTACTGTTTTATTTTTTTATTTTATTTTATTTTTTTGAGACGGAGTGTCACTCTGTTGCCCAGGCTGGAGTGCAGTGGTGCGATCTTGGCTCACTGCAAGCTCCACCTCCCAGGTTCACGCCATTTTCCTGCCCCAGCCTCCCGAGTAGCTGGGACTACAGGTGCCCGCCACCACGCCCAGCTAATTTTTTGTATTTTTAGTAGAGACAGGGGTTTCACTGTGTTAGCCAGGATGGTCTTGATCTCCTGACCTCGTGATCTGCCTGCCTTGGCCTCCCAAAGTGCTAGGATTACAGGCGTGAGCCAACGTGCCCAGCCCAGATATTTTCTTACTGGTAGAGTAAATAATCTCTTAGTGTAAATGAGCTTTCATACACTCCTAGTCCCATGTTTCTTCTATCCCTATCTTTTCAGTATGGTTATATCAGAATTTTTGGTTCAATTAGTATGTGGATTCATACTTGTATGATATATAAATATTGTTTACTGATACTTTTCATTCCTAAGCCAAGCAGAATATAGAGGTTACATTTCCTTTCTTGTATGATGTGTGTATTTTTTCCTAGTGTCAGTATTTGCTTCCTACAATCTAAACCATGTCTTTGAGTTCTAGGAAATTTTCTTGTATTATTTCTTTGATAACTTCTTTATTCTCCCTACAAAGTCTCACTGTGTTGCCTAGGTTGGAGTGCATTGGGGCGATCATGGCTCACTGCAGCCTCAAACTCCTGAGTTCAACTGATCCCCCTACCTCAGCCTTCCAATTAGTTGGGCGTACAAGGGTATGCCACCATGCCCAGCTAATTAAAAAAAAATTTTTTTTTTTTTTAGCAGAGATAGGAGGTCTCACTTTGTTACCTAGGCTGGTCTCAAACTCTTAGACTCAAGCAATCCTCCTGCCTAAGCCTCCCAAAGTGCTGGGATTACGGGCTAGAGCCACTATGCCTGGCAGTCGTTTTCGTTTTTTTTTAAAGTCTCCTACTCTCATTTGAATGCTCTAATATCTTTCATTTATTATCTCTGAAGCAGATTTATTTATTTATTTATTATTTATTTATTTTTTTGAGATGGAGTCTTGTTCTGTCGCCCAGGCTGGAGTGCAGTGGTGCAATCTCGGCTCACTGCAACCTCCGCCTCCTGGGTTCACGCCATTCTGCCTCAGCCTCCCCAGTAGCTGGGACTATAGGCGCTCGCCACTATGCCCAGCTAATTTTTTGTATTCTTTAGTAGAGACAGGGTGTCACTGTGTTAGCCAGGATGGTCTCGATCTCCTGACCTCGTAATCCACCCGCCTCGGCCTCCCAAAGTGCTGGGATTACAGGCGTGAGCCACCGCGCCCGGCCTCTGAAGCAGATTTTTAATAGTAAATTGTTTTTTGTTTGGAGGGGTTTTTTTTTTTTTTTTGAGACAGAGTCTCGCTCTGTCGCCCAGGCTGGAGTGCAGTGGTGCGATCTTGGCTCACTGCAACCTCTGCCTCCAAGGTTCGAGTGATTCTCCTGCCTCAGCCTCCCAAGTAGCTGGGATTACAGGTATACACCACCACACCTGGCTTATTTTTGTAATTTTAGTAGAAACAGGGTTTCCCCACATTGGCCAGGCTGGTCTCGAACTCCTGACATCAGGTGATCTGCCTGCCTCGGCCTCCCAAAGTGCTGGGATTACAGGCGTGAGCCTCTAGGCCTGGTCCTATTTATTATTTTCTGAGGCTAAGTTATTCCTTCAACTTCTGGCTTCTAGCTTAGTCCTAAAGTAATGTACTCACGGGCTGTGTCATGAATTTCTAGTCTCCAATGGGTAGTTAGATGGTAGATGTTAACAGTTACATGGATAACCTAGACTTCTGTTCTTTGGTAAATTGTTGAGCAAACCATTGGGATATAATTGCTACAGGTTTAGGTTCCTGATGAGTTCCCAATTTATTTCATATTTCATATTTCATAATAATCACTCTAGAGATTACTGAGTGAGATTATGGAATACTTTACTAAAAGCCTTTGAAATTTGGATGAAACCTCCTGACCAGGATGTTAGAAGGAAACTCAGGCTGGCCTTGCACTTGGAGAGAGCAGTGAACTGGAGAGCTTGGGGTGCTACCTGGCTTCTGTGCTTCTTGTGCTTCTTCTGTTTTTTTTGCTGGGAGAGACCTGATCGGATGGTTTCTGTGCTCAACAGAAAGCTCTCCGCAGAGGAATTAGAGCGAAAACGGCAAGAGATGATGGAAAACGCCAAATGGCGGGAGGAGGAGAGACTGAACATCCTCAAGAGGCACGCTAAAGATGAGGAACGGGAGCAGAGGCTAGAGAAGCTGGACTCCCGGGATGGGAAGTTCATCCAGTGAGTGCATCTTCTTCCTGCCGGGGGCTTTCATGGGGAAGGTCTTAAGATGGCAGGCTGGCAGGTGGTTCACGTTCCAGTGTTTCTGTGTTTGCACATGGAGCCCAGCCTTGTGCAACAAGGCTGCTAGTTACAGGCATTGTAACCTTGGCTGCTACTCCTCGTTTCTGACCACACAGTGGGATGTTTTTCATTTGAGGGGAGGAAAAGTGAATTTGGTATTTTCTAAATCATTGAAATTCCTTTGCCTTCCTTTTAAATAAGAATTCATGGCCCAGGAAGCCTTTTTCCAATGAGGCTTTGACTTATTTTCCAAAATAGATACATTTTCCCTCATGGACACTGGTTTAAAAACATTTGGTTCCAGGTGGAGTCACTCAAGTTATCTATGGGGGCTTAAAAGAGGTTGTGTTTTTACAGCTGCTCTATGGCTAACAACCCATTTCCTCTGAAACTGCCAGAATAGTTGACCGATTGAAAATGTTTTTGACTTCCATTTGCCTGTCTTCTCTTCCTAGCCGCATGAAGCTGGAGAGTGCATCTACTTCCTCCCTGGAGGATCGGGTGAAGCGGAATATCTACTCTCTACAGAGAACTTCGCTAGCTCTGGAGAAGAACTTTATGAAAAGATGAAAACTGTCCCCTCTCTTATTGGTTTTCCTGCATTTTCCAGGGAAGCTGCTGACCCCTTATTTCTCTTTATAAGAGTTCGAATGACTTCTTTCACAGATATCAAACCACCACTGTTCAAAGTGACCCTGCTCCATCGAGTCCTGGAACAGCTCACTTCCTTTGTGAGCTAGTGTAACTTGCTTTGTGGGACACTCAGTAACTTTGGGTTTTGACTCTTGAATGGGTGGGCACGGGACCATCTTGGTGGGAGTGCTTGTGCCGCTCTGGAAGGCTGTTCCCTGTGGTTGTGATGTTTATCATGCCGCTTCCTTCTTACCTGTGCCAACAGACCTATTTCACTGCCTCAGTGTACACCAGACCCTTCAGAAACCTCTCTGGTGTCACCCAGATAGATTATGCTTACTGAGACAAATTCATGTTTACTTGATTCAGAAGATAATGTTGCCGGGCGCGGTGGCTCACGCCTGTAATCCCAGCACTTTGGGAGGCCAAGGCAGGTGGATCACGAGGTCAGGAGATCGAGACCATCCTGGCTAACATGGTGAAAACCCATCTCTACTAAAAATACAAAAAACTAGCCAGACATGGTGGTGGACGCCTGTAGTACCAGCTACTCGGGAGGCTGAGGCAGGAGAATGGCGTGAACCCGGGAGGCGGAGCTTGCAGTGAGCCGAGATCGCACCACTGCACTCCAGCCTGGGCAACAGAGCGAGACTTCGTCTCAAAAAAAATAAAAAATTAAAAAAAAAAAGATAATGTGACAGAATGATGTCAGGTTAGGTCAAAGCCAAGGGAGTGACAGAATCTGGAAAATCAAACAATACTAACAGCCCTAAATGAACTGTTAACTATTTGATCTTTGGATGTAAAAGTGTAATGTGTATATGTACAAATGTATAATTCTTACATGCTTTTAAAAAAGGTTAGCTTTGTGAAAATACCTTGTTTGGTCAGTGACTTTACTGGGTAATAGAACCACATTGAACCTTGATGGCAAGGAATAAAATAAGGCAGGCCAGCTCGTTTTTCTCGGAATCTGGCTGATTTAGGAGGAGCCTGGGTTTATCGACAGGATCTGGAGTATCTATTCTTTTCCACTGCTTGCAGTCTCCAGTGTAGGCAGTGTAAAGGTATAGTAAAATGATTTTAGGAGTCAGAACCAAATTGCCAGTATGCTCCATGGCTCCTAAAGGAAAATAAAATGGAAGCTTTTTATTTCACGGCTTCATTTCTTACTGTGTAAGAAATGAAGATTACAATTACAGATTTTCAGGAGTTGTTTGCTAGTCTCTTTCAGTCAGGTACTAAAAAAACAAAAAAAACCCTCAAGGGGCCACTCTTCCATCTTTACTCCTTTTCCCTTCTCTATTCTTTCACCAGAAGCCCTCATTTGACCAATGAACTCCTAGGCTCTCTTGACCCGCACATTAGCAGGGCGATTTCCTTGTTCTGCTAATTCCTAATTCTGCTTAAAATGTATTTGGATTTCTGTTTTTGAACACTTACGATGCCAGGCACTGTAATGCTTGAAACCCGATCTTTCTCTAGAGAATGTAACGTAAGTTTTTTCATTTAATCACTTCATCATGCTTCCTTATGCCGGGGTTAATTATGTTTATTTTATTAATTGGTAATAAAGGCCACATTTATTTTTGTAACTGTTTAAAGAGCGACCACCTGTGGAGTACCGTATTTACGAATTTCCATACAGAAAGAACAACGTTGACCTGTGATTTGTGTTGAATATATGGAGATCCCTCATCTGAGAATTATGTAACAAAGCGTGGGGCAGTTTACTCAAAGATTTTACGAAATGAGCCAGAGTAAGACGATTAGTGGGATAGGTGTCTGAAGGTGCTGGCGGCCTCTGAGCTCTGACCCTTTGCAGGGAGACCAGGCAGCAGGTGGGTGGGCGCGGGGCCCATTCATAAAAACCAATGTTCCCGGCCTGCTTCTCATTGGCCCTGGGGGAAAGGGGCGTGCCCCGCGGGTGGAGCGCGCCCGGGACCCAGCGGAGTGGGTAGATCCACGCTTGGGTGGAGCAAGGGGGCGTTCCTTGGCTTTCCAGGCTGGACTTCCTCTTTCCCTGGCTGCGTCCCTCCTCTCCCCCGGGGTGGGCATGGTACGTCCCGCCCTCCTCGCATTCCCGCCCCTCCTTCCCTTCCGGAGCGGTGGCGTCGCCGCCATCTTGGCATTCGGGTTGAGGGAAAGAGCCAAACCCTGGCGTTGGGGAGCCCAGGCGGGGAGCCCCTCCCGCGATCCACAGCTACGCCTGCCCAGCCCTCCTCCTCTTCCCGCTACGGTGGGGGGCCCCGAGGCGTTCGGAGGCCAGGCGGGTTTCTGTCAGGCCCGGGGAGGAGGGGCGGGCGGGGCGGCCGCTGCCTCCCCGGGACGGGCCGTACCACGCGGGCGGGGAGGACGGAGCCAGGGGACGGCAGGGCTGCTGCACCGCCTGGGGGCGGGGTGCAGAGCGGGCCGGCCGGCTCCCCGGGGCGGGGCGGGAGGGCGGGGCGTGGGGCGGACGGAACCACCGGGGCGGGGTGGGGAGGTAACGGGACGGGCGCGACCATGGTGCGGTAAGGGAGCGGGGGTGGAGATCGGTCCGGGGGAGGCCTGAGGCCGCTGGCTTGTGCGCTGTCTCCACCGCCCCCCTTTCGCCGCCGCCGCCGCCGCCGCCGCCGCCCCGGGCATGTCGTCTAACTGCACCAGCACCACGGCGGTGGCGGTGGCGCCGCTCAGCGCCAGCAAGACCAAGACCAAGAAGAAGCATTTCGTGTGCCAGAAAGTGAAGCTATTCCGGGCCAGCGAGCCGATCCTCAGCGTCCTGATGTGGGGGGTGAACCACACGGTAACCAGCTCCTCCGCACCCCTCTGAGCGCGGCCCCGCGCGCTCCCACGCCCCCCGCAGCCCTGGGCCTTTGCCCCACAGGCCCTGCCGGTGACGCTTGCTACCCCTCGCCAAGCCACTTGCACGCCCACCCCACCCTTGCACGCCGTTCGGCCCCGTGTACACTCCCCGCACTCCACGCGAGGCCTGGTGTCTCTGTAGTCTGCCGTCGCCACCTCCCCTTCCCTCCAGCCCTTCTGGCTTTCTGCGTGTGGCGTGCTCGCTTGGGGCAGCCCTGGAGCGCAAAGGCAAGGCCTGGGTGCAGTGGAGTCGCTTTCATCCCTGCACCTTCTCCTCTTCCCCCCTCACCCTATTTGTTGCATGTATATTTCCTCTTGTTCCTTATAACCGGCTGCCAGCTCTGTCAAGTAGCAGTGGTCTGCCCAAATAGTCCTCTCTTTCTGATCGTTTGTTGTGGCTGCTCAAATTTTCCTATCCTCCAGGCCTCCTTACCCTTGAATGTAGAACTCCACCCTGGGTTTCCTTTTTTTTCCTCTTGAACAAGATGTATTAACTGGAGAAGCTTAGGCTTCCTTGAAGCAGACACTTTACCCAGGTGTCTCCGGGTTAGGGAGAAGAGAGAATGGCTATTAACCATTTGAGAGAAGAGGATGCCTGTTATAAGGAGGGACTATTCATAGTAGAAATAATATGACTTCTCATAGTTTTTGAAGGTGATCATTTCAAAGATGTTGACTTATCTGTTGTGTGGCTGTAAGGGTGTGATGATGCATGGTGATTATGGCCCTAGATAGGAGAGATCGGTCCCCTGGGTCCTTGGGGTGCTTTGAGATTGTTCAACAGCCCCTGCCAGGAAGTTGGATGCTGACGGTGTTTGAGCTGGAAGACTGTTTATGTGGTGTTTGTTCAGGGTCTTTCTTCTCCCTTTTCCAACCACTTGCTCTTTGCCTTCTGACCATTTCTTTATGAATCCCCACACTAGGAATGAGCAAAGGAAGTCAAAGGACCCGAAACACCAACTTGACTAACTAGAATTTTGGAATAAGGAGGATCAAGCTTGGGTTTCCTGTGGATTTCAGTTCTTTAGGTTCACTTGTGAGTGCTTGAAATTGCCCACAAGACCAAGCGATGACAAAGAGGGCCAGCAAGACTTTACATTGCTTTGGCAGAGGGGCTGAAGGTGCCTTTGGGTGGAGATGGATGAACCGTAATCTGAGCTAGGGTTTTAGATCTTGACCTGTCATTTAGAAAAGTGCACGTGTAAATTGAGGTCTCTGTGGTTTCTTGGTCTTGGGCAGGTTACTGTTTTCACTGTCATCACTGGTGTTAGTGAGGGTCCTGCCAGGATAGGGAGTACCAGTGGTATAATGCCCAGACCTCTAGGAGCTGCTTCGGGCCAACAATCCAGCCCAGTTTGTGACTCGGTCTTCCTGCTGCCCCAGGGGTTATCTGACAGCATTTCTAGGGAAACTGGGTGATCAGAATATGAACCCCATGTCCCTTTCTGGAAGTCACTCCTTGATTTTGTTCTGCATCCTGCTTCTGACTCTACCAGGCCTCTCTCTGCCAGTTCTGTTTCTCACAGAAAGCAACCCGTCTGTAGAGAACTGGTAGAGGCCTGAGAGTCAGGAGTATTACAGCTAGCCACAAGGAACCTCGGGTCCCTCATTTTACACATGAAGAAAAGGAGGCCTCGGGTGGAGGATTAGCTTGCCTGTGGTCACAGCAAGAGATGCCACTGATTGTCTAGCACCATGGGACTGTATCAGCCAAGGGTGGTGCCTGAGTGGCTGGTCTTGTTTTCTTTGCCTCCTGTTGCTTTTTCTCTCTCTCAGCCAAGTCTCAGGATAGATGGGAAGTTATAGTCTGGTTAGAGAAGGTGAGTGTATGCTCTGGGTTATGCACCTATGCATGTCAGGTCCTGGGAGTGTGTGTGATGCATGGTGTTCCGATAGGCAGGCATGAGTCTGTCCAGATGTGGGTATGAAGCTTCTCAATAGCTGATGATTAGGTATCTGTGAGTCCTACTCTCTTGGACAAAGTGGTCATCTTTTTTCTTTGCTAACTTTAAGTTGAAAGTTTGTTTGAGGGGCTAGTTGGAAGGGCATTGACTTTAAGCAAGATCTGTGCCGCTGGACATAATGAACAGGCACCTCATGGGAACTTCCCACCACTGCCCTGGACAGGCTACGCTTCAGAGGCCAGTTAGTCCTAAGTTTTACTGCTTCATCCTGGTCTGCAGTAAGGTCTAGTACTTCAGTGTCCCCATTTGGAAACTGGAGACATCTGCCTAGAAGAAGAGTGTGTAATCTTGCACTTGTCTAAGGGATCAGGGCCACATTGCCGTCCGTGGACTGCTGCACTTTTTTGGAGATTTCCCCCCTTCAAAAAAAGCCTACTTTGTAACATTTTGTCATCTGAGATTTCAGATACTGCCTTTTCTTTAGTTTCTCACCTGTTTAGGCATGCTAGTAGTCTGTGGCTAATGGTGTATCAGATAGGAACGATGGATATGTCTTTACAGCAAAAGTTAGTTACCCTTTCATGAGGTGATTGGTTTACTTCTAGGTGGAAAAAGGGAGGACTTTGAACTTGGTGTTATCACAGAAGCTGCTCTCATGGACGAGAGCCCGTGGATTTTGTGGAGGAAGAATGTGTAGGAAACCAGGA